GTATTAATTAGCCACACATATCTTTATTCCTAAAGTAAGAGACACAAACTACCTCAAATATAAAACAGGATGACATTGCTCATTTCTATAAATAGATATGACGATCCAGATGTGTACTTATAATAAACAAGCCAACACCAAGGAGCTAGACAAACGTGAATACACATTAAGTCTCTAAGCAGATAAATTTCGGGGATGGTAGGGGGTGGTGGGGAGGGGGAACCACGTTACAACAGGAAAAACATAAAAACATATGGACTTGTTACCGTCTATGCTAATATGAACTTCCCTGGTTTGTACGGAATATCAATATTCGGTAAAACGGACACCTCTTTACATAGAGCGATATAATTTTCAGTGAATATCGATTTTAACCTCGATAACGACTGATTTTATCCTCTAAGGCTCCGGATAGGTCCATATTCATCAGGACTTAAACTAATAAACAGGTCCCTGTGATTCCGTATATTTTTTATAAATTGATCCAAGATTTAAAAGTGACTTCATCAATGGAGTTAAATTATCGACCAACGAAATAAGTCACAATATTTTACACGAGTTGTTAGGATGAACACATATGATACAATTGTCCACTCGCTAGGAAAGCGTGACCAGGGAGCTATATATAGACATAACCTAGGATAATTTTTCTGCCGATCCATGCGATATTAATCCGATTGACTGGATCGATGTCGACAATGCGATACTTGACTGATGAAGAAAGGCGCCCGACTTAATCCCATCGTCTCTGTTGATAAGACTCTACAGAATGATAAAGTCGCTTCCCATATTGTGATCAAGCTGAGGGATGTGATTATGAAACGTCCATTTCGAGGCTGCACCGAAAGCAAGACATTAAATAATCCCATCAATAGGGTTGAGATTTTCGTTCTTGCCCCAAAGATTAAGGAAGGGAGTCTATTTATTTTCCTAAACTCTACCATGTCACTTTTGACAATGTCCAATAACACATCATAAGAGCGGAAAAAAATAAAAAAAAAGTATATAAAAACATCGCAACGCCATGTTTCTGTTTGTGTGTATTTAAATTTGATGTTTGCAATTACCTATATGTAAGTATAGTTATGGTTGTTATATGACTAACGAGATCAAAAGAAACTAAACATTAATTACTAGGGTATAATTAAGTCTGCCAAAATGATTAAACAAGTTAGATGTGTCACGGTGAGAAACATCAATCTCTCACGTTTCAACCTTTAAATCCACGTAAGGAAAGAAAACATTTGTATGAAGACCTCATGGAAATGTTTAGAAATACAAAGGAATGTCGCAAGTTTGTGGTTTGTTGGAATCTATAGGATTTGTATACAAAATCGTGACGGATCACATATGAGGTTGAAAATGTTAATAGATTGCAGTGTATATTGAGCTCTATATCGGGTATAATTGAATTTTTTTTTGTACCGCACTGACACGAAATTCTGGTAACGACGAGGGACTCACGCGAGTCGTGGTAATATCATCCAACAAAGCTGATGGACAGGTCATCCAAAAAAAAAAGTCAATTCTAGATTTCACAAACCAATAACAATGTACAGCTTTATCCTTATATTCACGAACATTCCAAATTAAATGAGGTCGACAAGCTATGTTATTTCGGTTGATGTAGGTCTGTAATCAAAATAAATGGACATTTCTATTAGCAATAAAATGTATCATGAGCCAAGCGTAACCAATATTTAACATATACATCTGTATTTTTTTTCTCTATGTCCTCTTCACAACGTTTTCTCAATTTCACGTCTTAGAATGTACAGGCCAACACGTGTACTGTAGATTCATGTATATACAGCTCAAGTGTATATCTTATTAGGGTTGAGGTCGTGTCTCATCTCGGGTGTATATTAATTACATGCCGTTATTATACACGCTTTGCCTACCTTATCTTTTCATTCCGGGTTATTCCGAGTTTATCGTTACATTTTACTGTCTCTCCAGGGGTTGCACACCCAATTCTCCGTTTTAAAAGAATCATTTAAATGAAAGAAAAAACGTCTTTTGAAGAATGTGTCCCGCTTGCATATATACCTATGGACAGTTTTAATAGATTTAATTGACTTAAACTACAGCATGCAGCTATACACGACTTCAAACGTGTAGAGGAATGGTGGTATGAGCGACTTGCAGACAGAATCGGTGTCACTAACTGTGACATTATCACTGTTGAATAGGATCGGTGTCACTAACTGTGACATTATCACTGTTGAATAGGATCGGTGTCACTAACTGTGACACTATCACTGTAGATAGGATTGGTGCCACAAATTGTGACATTAGCATTGTATAACAGGATCGGTGCCACTAATCGTGACATTTTCATTAGAGAATAGGATCGGTGTCACTAACTGTGACATTATCACTGTAGACAGGATTGGTGCCACTAACTGTGACATTATCACTGAAGAACAGAATCGGTGCCACTTAATGTGACATTATCATTGCAGAACAGAATCGGTGCCACTAACTGTGACATTATCATTGTAGAACAGAATCGGTGCCACTAACTATGACATTTTGGTGCCACTAACTGTGACATTATCATTGTAGAACAGAATCTGTGCCACTAACTGTGACAATATCATTGTAGAACAGAATACGTGCCACTAACTGTGACATTATCAATGCAGAATGAAGAAGAAGAAATCCGCCGAATATATTGACTAACATGACAAATTTCTCCACGTGACAGGGTAATTTTTTACGGATTTCACCACCAAAATGAAATGAACCTCTGAGAGGTAATAACAATTTTGAAATACCAAAATATCATAAATGGAAGCGAAACATTGTTAAATTTCGATTCTAGTAGTACATATATCATTTAACTATTTTAGTAAACCACACACCCGATTTTTTTTTTCTCTCATTTACACGACTGTTGAGTCCGTATGAAGTCGTGTGTACCTGTTCACGGGACTTTCGTCAATGCCCGTAATATATTGTCCACACAACGCTGATCTATGTAAAAGAGTCGCATCAAAGGGAAAAGAGCTATTAACAAGTTGTCGCCAAATCACTTCTTCGAGTGGCAGTAAGTGGTCAAGTTCAGATTCCGGTCAATACACGAGTAGCTATATTACCGTAGTACATGTCGATCGATTTAAGACATGACCAATATTTGGACAGTATATTTTAGTTCATCGAAGGTTCATATGGTCAAGACATGTACAAGGAGGTATTGGATCGGGATGAAGAAACGATCACATCCATAACGCTAATTTATAATAAATCTGCGGGCAATGTCAAGTTCAGTATCTGGTGATGTCATTATAATTGTGGCGATCGTTTTGTTTACACCTCTCACAAAGTCACCAGATGTCTTGTAATGACTTCTTATCGATATCCTTCACGTAAACAATTGTAATACTCCCACAGGTATTTGCTCAATATGTGATAAGAAATATATGAGTTCGTTCCGTCTGTTAATTAGGACATTCGTGAAATATTAACACACCGCCAAATGGAGAATTTTTACCTGGGAAGTGTAAAATTGTAAAATGTTTATGTTTGACTTAATTGTATCCTAGCTTCCTATGGTAGAATAAGGACGCTTTGATGAGAGGGTTGTTTTGTTCACTATCGCTGATTATCGTAATTAATATGTCTTTCAATAATATTGATGATTGTATTGGAAACTAACCACGCTTTACCTTTCACAAGTACTTTGAACCTTTAAACAACTTGAAGGTAAGTGTTGTAGTAACCTTGGTCTACTTTATGAAAGTATAACAGAAATTTAGACAAATATTGACTAGGGTTGCAATGACATGAAGAAGTGTGTATATACATACAAAATATTAGCAACTGACAGGAACCCGTGTGAGAACTTGATCGATGTTACGCCAGTGCTTATTTACTATGTAACCTAGATAACGACTAACTTGATAGGTTTACTGTGCCCTTTTATTTCTAAGGCCAAGTAATGTACTCACGGGGAATCAATGGTGACTAGATAACATCACAAGGAATAATCCACCATTGATAAAAACGAAAATCATACCCATACATTAGTACAGCGAGATATAATTACAAACTCATTAGAGCCTAACTGTTTTACATAAAATCAAGTGCCTACATGTAGGAGTGAATGCCTTAGGATTACGATGTTACCGTAACCACAATTTATACACAAACAATAAATGGGTACGTTTATCGTAGATTTTTTTAAACTTTATATTATACAGGTTTAACTTCGACCTGGGATAGACTTTCGCCTGAATTTTCTACTTCACAAAAAGTGTTTTTATTGCAGATAACCTTCAGGGAATTCTTTCTCTTTCAAATGCCACTCTCAACTAACTGTTTGCTTTCTAATTTTAAAATGTCAATAGTACTATTTTGTTGTATGCAAATATCCTGCATTTAGACTAGATATATCAATATTCATACCTTATAATGAAATTTTGAAGCTGTCACGTATAATTCTACCCACCACACAACCTGATAGTCTGGAAGTTGGCTTACTTTGTTGATCTGTACCAAAATCAAATATATTTCTACATTTACAATCATAACCTATATAGATCCCACTCGGGGCACTGCAGTGTCACCATGGAGACTATAAATTACTGGTAAACAATTGCCACAGCCGGATGATAACACAGGTGAATTAAACATCACATCTACTCGTTAGTGCAGAATTATACAATACACTTACTTCTATTGGAACCATGGCTTTTTTGCTTTTCTTTCTTCTGTCTGTGATCAGTGGCTAAAGAGAGAAACAACGTGACCATGATATTGGTTTTATATCAGGCCGTTAGTCTAATACTTCCAATCAATGTATATAACAATCTGTTCGGGTTGATATAAGCTGATACTTTGATTTATAAAGATTCTAAAGTTTCACTTTTGATCCATTTTCAATCATTGTAGAGTTAATACTGTCTTCAGTCTTTAAAGATTTAATAATTTTGTAGTTTTTTCACTATCACTTCTCACAAAAGTTCTATAAATCAGTGGTACCCTGCCATTCCTTATTAAGTTTCTGTAATAGTTCCTACACTACCACTTCTCATAAAATCATTATCACTTCCTACACTACCACTTCTCATAAAATCATTATCACTTCCTACACTATCACTTCTCATAAAATCATTATCACTTCCAACACTACCACTTCTCATAAAATCGTTACTAGTTCCTACACTACCACTTCTCATAAAATCGTTATTAGTTCCTACACTATCACTTCTCATAAAATCGTTATTAGTTCCTACACTACCACTTCTCATAAAATCATTATTAGTTCCTACACTACCACTTCTCATAAAATCATTATCACTTCCTACACTACCACTTCTCATAAAATCGTTACTAGTTCCTACACTACCACTTCTCATAAAATCGTTACTAGTTCCTACACTACCACTTCTCATAAAATCGTTACTAGTTCCTACACTACCACTTCTCATAAAATCGTTACTAGTTCCTACACTACCACTTCTCATAAAATCGTTACTAGTTCCTACACTATCACTTCTCATAAAATCGTTACTAGTTCCTACACTATCACTTCTCATAAAATCGTTACTAGTTCCTACACTACCACTTCTCATAAAATCGTTACTAGTTCCTACACTATCACTTCTCATAAAATCGTTACTAGTTCCTACACTACCACTTCTCATAAAATCGTTACTAGTTCCTACACTACCACTTCTCATAAAATCGTTACTAGTTCCTACACTACCACTTCTCATAAAATCGTTACTAGTTCCTACACTGCCACTTCTCATAAAATCGTTACTAGTTCCTACACTACCACTTCTCATAAAATCGTTACTAGTTCCTACACTATCACTTCTCATAAAATCATTACTAGTTCCTACACTACCACTTCTCATAAAATCCTTATTAGTTCCTACACTATCACTTCTCATAAAATCGTTACTAGTTCATACTAAAATCGTTACTAGTTCCTAAACTACCACTTCTCAAAAAATCGTTCCTACACTACCACTTCTCAAAAAATCGTTACTAGTTCCTACACTACCACTTCTCATAAAATCGTTACTAGTTCCTACACTACCACTTCTCATAAAATCATTATTAGTTCCTACACTACCACTTCTCATAAAATCGTTACTAGTTCCTACACTACCACTTCTCATAAAATCGTTACTAGTTCCTACACTACCACTTCTCATAAAATCGTTACTAGTTCCTACACTACCACTTCTCATAAAATCTTTACTAGTTCCTACACTACCACTTCTCATAAAATCGTTACTAGTTCCTACACTACCACTTCTCATAAAATCATTATCAGTTCCTACACTACCACTTCTCATAAAATCGTTATAAAATCTAGTTCCTACACTACCTTCTCATAAAATCTTACTCATAAAAAAATCGTTACTAGTTCCTACACTACCACTTCTCATAAAATCATTATTAGTTCCTACACTACCACTTCTCATAAAATCGTTACTAGTTCCTACACTACCACTTCTCATAAAATCATTATTAGTTCCTACACTACCACTTCTCATAAAATCCTTATTAGTTCCTACACTATCACTTCTCATAAAATCGTTACTAGTTCATACACTACCGCTTCTCATAAAATCGTTACTAGTTCCTACACTGCCACTTCTCATAAAATCGTTACTAGTTCCTACACTACCACTTCTCAAAAAATCGTTACTAGTTCCTACACTACCACTTCTCATAAAATCGTTATTAGTTCCTACACTACCACTTCTCATAAAATCGTTACTAGTTCCTACACTGCCACTTCTCATAAAATCATTATCACTTCCTACACTACCACTTCTCATAAAATCGTTACTAGTTCCTACACTACCACTTCTCATAAAATCGTTACTAGTTCCTACACTACCACTTCTCATAAAATCGTTATTAGTTCCTACACTACCACTTCTCATAAAATCGTTATCACTTTCTACACTACCACTTCTCATAAAATCGTTACTAGTTCCTACACTACCACTTCTCATAAAATCATTATCACTTCCTACACTACCACTTCTCATAAAATCATTATTAGTTCCTACACTACCACTTCTCATAAAATCGTTACTAGTTCCTACACTATCACTTCTCATAAAATCATTATTAGTTCCTACACTACCACTTCTCATAAAATCGTTACTAGTTCCTACACTATCACTTCTCATAAAATCATTATTAGTTCCTACACTACCACTTCTCATAAAATCATTATTAGTTCCTACACTACCACTTCTCATAAAATCATTATTAGTTCCTACACTACCACTTCTCATAAAATCATTATTAGTTCCTACACTACCACTTCTCATAAAATCATTATTAGTTCCTACACTACCACTTCTCATAAAATCATTATTAGTTCCTACACTACCACTTCTCATAAAATCATTATTAGTTCCTACACTACCACTTCTCATAAAATCATTATTAGTTCCTACACTACCACTTCTCATAAAATCGTTACTAGTTCCTACACTGCCACTTCTCATAAAATCATTATTAGTTCCTACACTACCACTTCTCATAAAATCATTATCACTTCCTACACTACCACTTCTCATAAAATCATTATTAGTTCCTACACTACCACTTCTCATAAAATCATTATTAGTTCCTACACTACCACTTCTCATAAAATCGTTACTAGTTCCTACACTACCACTTCTCATAAAATCATTATTAGTTCCTACACTGCCAGTTCTCATAAAATCGTTATTAGTTCCTACACTATCACTTCTCATAAAATCGTTACTAGTTCCTACACTACCACTTCTCATAAAATCATTATTAGTTCCTACACTACCACTTCTCATAAAATCGTTACTAGTTCCTACACTACCACTTACCAGCATAATCGTTTTTACATGTCTATTTCTTTTTGAAAGATTGTATAAAACTTATTATCTTACCACTTCTAACAGTCATCATCAAACTTTATTTCCTCCCAAAGGAGGACACTTCTAACAGTGTCATCAACAGTTTATATACTTTCTGTTCTTCCCCAGAGTATATAATTATTCCTACACTGACACAATTCCAAAGCGGTCCATCATCCTTTCCCAAACATTCCATAGTATATCTTAACTACGGCTTGTTACAAAGAACACAACAAACTTTCACACAGATTCTATAATAATTCCTATCTGCCAGTTCTCGCAAAAAACTCTTCAAAATGAATCTTACCCTTACACTTTATACAAATATTCGTGTTTGATTTTATACAATACTACTAAAGCATATTCTTAAAAGAATCTAATTATTTAATTTGAAAAAATAAATTAAGGGAAATTAATGGGAAAAAAATGAAAGAAGAAAAAATATTAAGAAATATTTTATAAATGGTAGTATAGCTCGTGCTAAATAAACTCGTAGGATGTTAATGCCATTTAAAATTATAGAACCGTCATCTGTGTTAAAGTAAAAATCATGTTTGGAACTTCGACGAAGATTTGAATTAAGTGATCATTTTAAACATACTGTTAACTATTTCATACTTGTATATACATTACGAGGAAAATAAGTACAGATTTTAGCACGGTATGTTACGAGGGAAATAAGTACAGATTTTAGGACGGCACATTACGAGGGATATAAGTACAGATTTAAGCATGATTACATTACGAGGGAAATAAGCACAGATTTTAGCACGGCATATTACCATGGAAATAAGTATAGATTTTAGCACGGCTACAGTACGAGGGAAATAAGTATAGATTTTAGAACGGCACATTACGAGGGATATAAGTACAGATTTAAGCATGATTACATTACAAGGGAAATAAGTACAGATTTGAGCTCGGCTACATTACGAGGGAAATAAGTACAGATTTTAGAACGGCACATTACGAGGGAAATAAGTACAGATTTTAGAACGGCACATTACGAGGGAAATAAGTACATATTTTAGAACGGCACATTACGAGGGAAATAAGTACATATTTTAGCACGGTTACATTACGAGGGAAATAAGTACAGATTTTAGCACGGCATATTACCAGGGAAATAAGTACAGATTTTAGCACGGCTACATTACGAGGGAAATAAGTACAGATTTTAGCACGGCAAATTACGAGGGAAATAAGTACAGATTTTAGCACGGCATATTACCAGGGAAATAAGTACAGATTTTAGCACGGCTACATTACGAGGGAAATAAGTACAGATTTTAGCACGGCTACATTACGAGGGAAATAAGTACAGATTTTAGCGCGTCTACATTGTATTTATACACACTGGTCTTTATCAAGTATAGAATATCTCTGAAAAAACTAATATAAGGTACCAAATGATTCAACAGAACGTACCATTAAACACCAATAATACAGAGGTTTGATTAGAAAGAATCAATACATAATGTTATCAAAAGAAACCCAGCACTATGTATAGGTGTGTGATAATTAGGGAATTAGAGAACCACACATGGATAGCCCTGGTCAAAATCAAAGCTTCTCTCCGTCTACACCATTACCTCTCTAGACAACGTTATCATTACTAATAAGCAGATGGACTGCCATGATATTACAGTCTGCCTTCAATATAAGTCGGATTAAACCGTCTACATTTGATTTGACTGATTGGGTGTGTAGTAACAACATATCGATTAGTTAATTAAGGTACGGTGTGGACTTACAGTAATCTATAAAGACTAATTAGTCCAGTGTTCTACTTGTTAAAATCAAATCAAATCAAAATGTCAAAACGTATTCCATGTCCAATCGATGCGAATCGGTTTTCCATTTCATTGGTCTTAATTCAATATCTTGATATTAACTTATTGTTTGTTCTAAATACCATAAATATGTTAATGGAATATAAAGAGTATTTATTAAGTTACCACGTAACCGAGATATACAGCAAAGCATTGATAAAATAATATAATTATAAGACAATCGTGAAAGAGATACAAGGATTTTAAATTCATTATACATGCTGAAGATTATATATATAAATCTTGTTATCAACATCACAAATACAAGTTAGATATATTAGAAACACCCGTTTGACTGACATAAACCAACCAGTGGTTTACTGCTAACAAGCAACTCTGGCGTTCTCCCTTGTTAACTGAGGGGCACTGCATATCGGTTGTCTTTCAATCAACAATTATCAAGTCTTCATTCACCATATTAATCTTGGTCAATTATTAACATAAAGTTGAGTTTCGGAATAGCTTCTTAAAGGTGTTTTTTATATTAAATATTATGTTTGTTTAAAAACAAAAATCAGAATTGCTACAATTTGTCAATACGGATAAACAGTGGAGAAAAAGTGCTTCTATACTAACACATTGGCATTCTTTGTTTGATAAATTGAGCCACGCAAGTGGGCTTTAACTCCTTAGTGTGGAAATGCAAAGACAATATCACATTAATGATCGACCCTGGGCAATGTGTGTTTAAAGATTCTTTCTCTTGTTATTCAGCCACAATAGATTTAAAATAATCTCGCTGCTAACATCTATAGTGATGATACAATAGACAATGCTATGAATGCCGTGAATAGTCATTGTCCATGTTAAACTACTTTAATGTTTCGGACGTTGATCGATTACACAAATAAATAAACGTATTCAAAGCCATTTACACACAATTAACGAAGAATGTACGTGTTTTATATTACAGACATAAATATTAAAGTTTTCCCCGTTTGGTGATACGTTCGTTGTCATTTGTATAGAATTTATCACACCTATCACCTTCGGTAAACTATTAAAATTTGATTTTTTTTATCCGATCAAGCGAACAAATATATATCTTGATTCCATATGACATAAACCGCAAAATATTCTATCAGTGTAAATAGTATGTTACATTATCCAAACCTTTTCTTTTCCTCATAATGCATTTTTGTATCTCCCATGTAACAAAATATCGTTTTAAATCTATTTTAAACAGGACAAACTTGT